TTATTGTCTGGTATTTTGTCATGATGAACTTGCTAGTGAATTTTGTTATCAAACAGAAAAAATGCAGATAGAGACCTGTAGTTTACAACTGCGCTTGCAGCTGAGAAATGACTAAAGGAAGTGAAGTGCTAAAGTGCCATTATACTATGATGATAAAGTCGCGAATCAGTCATAATGTGCATAAGTATTGATTCGCAGTGTTCATTAGGTAATTTATCACCAGCTTCTAAATTTCCTCAAGGTGTTCTTACCAGAAAGTTTTCTTGCCAGTCCAATAAGTTTGTCCGACAATGGCAGATGTACTAGTGCTGCGTAGAAGTAGATGAACTGCAAATAGATATAAGTAGTTCAGAGCAGTAGTTATTTTCTAGATAGCCATTCTTTAGTATAAATTAACTTGTCAGTAACCATCTACAACGTTGTGCTAAATATCGTATGAGAGGTAGGATGAGTGCTGAGGAACAAATGAAAAGGGCTTGCAACTTTCTACGAACTTGGACTATTGTCTAAGAACTTAAATTCCAGTTAGTTTTGACCGTTAGTTTTTCTTGTTGGCTTTATTTGTTTGGGACATAGCTTTAGTTTAGATATGGTCACTCTTTATCAATGAATGTATGCCGGTTTTTTTATGATTCCCACCTACGGGAACGCTGGGAGTGCGATACCAAGAAGTTGTTAAGGGCATTCTTGCACTTGTTCCGACTTTCGTAACTGCCCGCGAGATAACATTGCGATATGAGACCGATTAGTTGTCATGCAAAAGCCGAATGTTGTTGATTCGTCGTCTTGGTCGATTTCCTTTCAGGAGAGGACGAGCTTGTTGGATTACTCAGTGTAGTAGTTAACACTGAACATCTTATTCGACTACAACAACTTACAAGTTCCCATCCTCTAAATCTCTTAGAAGGCGAACAAAATTAGTTCATGATCTTTTCATTGCACTTGGGTTGACCTGATGGATCCTCGTTACTGGCTGACCAAACGAATCGTTTCTTGTCATATTTGACCCATTTCTCCTTTTAGTCACGATACCCCTGAAAAAGTATTCTCCATGTGGGTGAAACATCCGAGATTCACAGGAGCCGATTTGAATGGAATGAGAAGTGGCGAGGAGGTTTTAATGAAGCATGATAGATCGAAATTCTATATGGCCCATTTTCATTTGGCCTTACTTTTCCCACTGTGAGCCTGTCATTTTTTCATCCATTATGTTGTTGAATAGTGTAACTGAGAACGATAAGTCCTCTCTCTGGTGAAATCAGATGAGCCCGTTCGCTCCTAGACCATTTAATTATTTAATATCACTTGAACGCTCTTAATTTCTAAAACGTCGTGTTTGACTCACGAGCTCTGCTCATTGCTACTCTATTCTTGCAGAGGTAGGGTTCAGTGGCCTTTTTTGTAATGAGTGTTCATCAGAGATGTGAACTACGCTAAAAAGCCACCTGAAGTTCTTGGAATATTAGCGACGACCAGCTGGATGTGGTCAGAAGATTTAGAGATATCATATTCGAAAACGGTTTTCAAGACATGGTAAGAAAACGGAAGGCGGAAGTTGCCCACCATTTTACGTACGTTTATGGGTACAGAATTTTACTCGCGCTATAGACAGTACAGTTCCCACCATGGAACCCTTATATATTGTTGTTATTGGGCATAATTTGAAGAATATTAAAATGATGATCTCTGATCCTACAAGGAATGTCTAAAAGAACAAATATTACCAAAATTTGAGTAATAAATGACGTAAAGTGACGTCAGAAAGTTCTGGTAATCGAAGTAGGGCTCTATATGTTAAGATTACGAGTTTAAATGACACTGAATGTATCCCATTGTTAAGCTATTCCAAAGAAAGGGAAATTTCGTTGCAAATGATCGGACTGGGATTCATGGTCCTATTAAGCCTTTGAGAAGTTTTTGTTTTTTTTTATTTATGTGATCTTATAAAGTGATCTTCTTAAGCTGACGCGAGGTTGGTACAGATCTTCGTTGTCGTTGTCGTTGTTTTTGATGTTACTGGTCGATGGCAGACGTTTCGGCGACTTCGCCTTCCTCAGAGCCTGGGCGTACTTTATGTTAGAATGCTTTTTATTATTCGGTGGAAAAGAAGGTTAAAGTATTAATGAAGATCAAACTTTCAAATAGACGCCATATTGAACAGAAAGGCCACTCACCGTGATGTTACGTGCGGGACTGGCCCACACGTAGTTCACGTGGAGTCGCGAGCAAGACACGCCCCGGGGTCAAAATATCATTTTGAAATAGGGCGCCAGGAGTTTTTGTTTTGTTTTTGCAAATCACTGTATTGAAGGAACTAACAGTTGAGGCATTACAGGGAGTCATACGGAAAATACCTTAAATGTAAAAAACTGCAATAAAACATTTTTTTGTGACATGTCTTTGCTCAAGAACCTGAAGCTCTGGAAGTCCTGAGAAACACTTTGCTCGTTGTACTCTAGGGATAATACTTTTTGTGATGGTATTTATATTGCCAGCAGATGTAGCACAGTGATTAGAGCTGCCCTGCGATAAACATGCGGTTGCTGGTTCGAATCCGCCTCTCGATCCTTCATCACTTCGAGGGAGGCAAATTCGTACTACACTTTTCTGGGAAGATAATAACACTGGATTGGTACACCTTTAAGCGACTATAACTTATCGTATAGGCAAATTATGCGTTCAATCGATGTTACGAGTGGAGTCGAATGCGTGGCGCTTCGCTAAGTGATTGGCAATGATGAACGCCTTATTCTTTACCCATCTATTTTAATTGTCATGGATAGAAGAAGAATAATTGCTAAAAAAGTTCTCGGCTGAATAAGTGGCTACCGCAATCCGAGTGCACCTTTAAAGACTGAAATCGATATTACCCATTAGCCATTCACTGAAAGTGCTCCTCTAAGCATAATTATCAGGGAAAACTGTTTCTTGAGCAGTGTTGGTTATTCTTTGTTTCTGGCTAGTGTTTAGTTGTTTGCCACCACGGTCGATTATGAGTTGAGTCTGTGAAGGGCTCATCTGAAATCACTGTGTTATCAACCGATTCATCCACAGTAGTGCATTTTGCCAGAAAACACATGAAAGTGGAAGAATTGGTCCCAAAATGTGTGTTATGTAGGAGTCACGTCCTACTCCATAAGAAGTACAACCTCAGCTGATGGTGATTTCCATCGACCGTAATCTGATCGCTCATTGACATCACCATCTCATTTGTTGCTGTTGGCACTACTTCGTCGGGAAAAAAAAATAAGCGAAAAGAGGGTCCTGAGTTTGCGGATTGAGACTGGATGGTGTGTTTGAGTCGGCTTGTTGAAAATAAACCCAGTATCAGTGGGTAAGCATAAATTGTTATGAAACCGTCGGCTTTCTCCTCCGGAGGGCGCATATCGAGTACTTATCTCGATAATTATCCCGTCTTCTCATCTCCTTATGTCTACTACACCCTCAAGTCTCAAGTTTCGTTAATTACATAGTATGGATATGACCGGAGCCTCTCATTCCTCGATGATCACACGTCTTTCGCGAGACTCTCCTCAAGTGCGATGTGTCCGACGAAAACATGCACTTTCGCCGGAGCGCATCTACCACGTGTAGTGTTTGTTAGACGCTCGACGTCACGAACTTCTCACATCACCTGCGTCCAGATGTTCTTCAGCAGAAGTTTCGTAGTGTTCTAGACGTTCAGACGATGTCATTTCGTTCTCAAACCAGTTCAGTAAACATAACCAAACTTGCCTCTCGTCGTTTTCACCGTTGTGGCATTAACGAGATCATTTTGTACGTGAAATTACATAAAATATGAATGTATTGTGGTGAGTGGTCTTCAAACCATTTGTCGACCGATCTGCTCAAAAATGAATTGAAATAGGCGTGAAGAAAGCATGGGATATCTTAGGTCGTGTGAGTCGGCGGAATATACGCGGGATTTTTCGGTTTTCTGTCAGTGAGGTGTGGTGAAAGTCATTGTTTGAAGATATTAGAAGTGCTATGTATGTAGTTAGATGGATGGCTACGTGATTTTAACTGTTGTAAAGCAGTCACCAACGAAAGTTTAACTCTCACTAATTTAAAGTGAGTTGACGTGACTAACCGGCTGTGAAAAGCAAACTAGTAAACGCGCTAAACAGAACGATTCCTTGCTGTGCTTCATTGACTCTCCTAGTTTATGCTCATATAGAAAATAACTGCTGGATGCAAACAACTGTTTTTAGTGCAGGAAATTCTGCTGAGAGCTGGAAATCTGTCCTCAATTTATCCATGCGAATTTGTGTAGTAGTACAGCGGATACAGGAAGAGCTAGTGCTTGATGAACGAGCTAGTCCATACTTTTCAATTAAAGAGAGATGAGGCTGTCGACGTGGACAGTGTTTTTCCCTTTCACCATGAAAAACTTCGACGATCTGTGAAGGTGAGCAAGAGTGCCGAGATGCCGTAGGACAATCCACCTCTGTCCCAAAGGACTAATTCAGCTTTGAAGCGTTAGATCTCATAGATCTCTTAGACGTCCCGTCATGTGGATTCCGCAAATTGCTCACGAGGGTTCTACAAACCGAATTTTGTCTTGTGGTTACCTTTTTTTTTCGATTTTTGGCTGTTTTAATTTTATAATTTTAACTAAGTTCCTCCTACACACTCTAAAGTTCTAGAGTGTTTTATTTTCACATATCCGTTTCATATGTTCTCTTTTCGATTCGAATCCGTTTAACTCGGATCTCATCTCAAGTAAGAGTAGGGCTAGTCATAACCCAGGCATGGCTGTGCTATGTATCCTGTTATCTTTTAAATCGCCTTAAACCCAACCCTAAAAGAAATGTTCTGCCTGTTTTCGGCGCATGTGATTTCCACCGTTCTGCCATTTTTTCGATTGGCTGTGTTTCATGTGTTGTTACGATATATTCTTTCACGTTTCCCTTCTGTTTCAATGAGCTCGGGTAACCTATCGGTCTTGCGCTTAATACGTGCTCTATGGGCCGTCGAACGGCACTTGGTGAAAATTTCAGATGACAGAAGAAGAGTCAGCTTCAACCCGAAATAATGTGGAAGAAGTTCACGGACAGCTGTTCGAAGTCGGACCGCGTTACGTGAATCTCTCCTACATCGGCGAAGGAGCCTATGGCATGGTGGCGTGAGTTTTAATTCGTTTTGTTTTGTTTGTTTTTGGCGAATGGCGTAATTAGAAAGGACTTTTCCATTGTAGTTCTCGGAAATAACAGGTTTTCAGGTTCACAGGTTTGAATCACAGGTCGGCTTTCTCGAATGTGCGCGAAAATGAACTATCGGTTTTCTCTGTCTGTAAGCCCTCTTATTGACCGTGGTTGCTCGGCAGAATCTAGAATTTTTTTCAGGTGGCATTAGAAATAAAGAACGCTCCAGGTTTTCAAAGGAAGTGGTTTTACTATTGATGGGAATTGGTGAGAACTATTGAGAGTGCAGACTTCGTGATGTTTTTTGTAGCTCCTAAGGTGCTGCATAACAGCGTTCATTTTGTTAAGTGATGGTGAAGCTCACAGCCGTTAACTACTGCCGACGTAATACTAGTAAGCGACCTGTTATGAGAAGGCCATCCTCTTCTAAGACATGAAACTTACTCGATACTTGAATGGCCCGTCCTCACTGGTTGTGCGGGCCCTAGCGTCATCTCCATTTTTCGGAGATTTGCTGGCTGTGGTTCCCTGGAGTCCTGAGGTCAACCTGGCCAAAGTCTACCGCAGGCCTTCACCACCACAGGCAGTCGCAGCCCTTGTGGATCAGAGAGAGAATTGCTACCATGTGACTTTGATAACAGGACGGTGGTGGATACTGGTATTGGTTTACTCTTAGCTAGGCTTCCTGATGGAACCACCGAACTCTTTCTCAGTTTGGGAGACCTTGCCAGGGAATGAATCCCCCGCTTTACATCGCAGTCCGACACCCAGGGGCGCCTTCCAGCTACGATGATGCTCTAAACCGTTGGGAGGAAGACATGGAAACCCGAGTGGTTTCCGATTTGTTCTTTCTTGATAATTCTATGATTTCCAGTTCCGCTTTGGATACGGTCACACATGAAAGGGTCGCTATAAAGAAGATTTCTCCGTTTGAACATCAGACTTTTTGTCAGAGAACGTTTCGTGAAATCAAAATTCTCACAAGGTTCAAGCATGAAAATGCAAGTTTTTCTTTTCTTCCGTCTTGTTTTTTTTTCCTTTACTTACTTCGCTGTCTATTTTCTGTTTAGATTATAAATATACAAGAAATTATCCGGTCCGCTTCTGTGGAACAGATGAAAGATATGTGAGTGTATTTCTTATTTAAAAAGGAAGAACTGGTTGTTTTCTCTTCTTTCGTTCTCCAAAGTATGACAGTTGCTCAACACTGTTATCTTTATAGTGATGCTGAAATGTTTACAAAACTTCGGACGGCAGGTGTCTGTTATGGGGATCGGATAGAAAACTAGCTGAGAGACAGGCAAAACGAAGAGCACGCGTGGTGTGATGGTGAACGTGTTAGCCCCCGGAAGGGGTAATATCGTTTTCGATCCCCATCGCAGACACCAGCGGTCGGAAGTTTTGCAAATTATCGTTTTGCGAAAATTATGGTAAGAAATAAATAAAAAATCGAGCATTGTTATTCTCATAGTAAAATGTTTTCAGTCAGCAAGCCTTTCCAAAGTTGGAGATAATTACTCGCAAAAATTTGTATCGCCCCAACGGTCCGCAGTTTTTGAGAAGCGCTCAGTTATATATTTGTTCTTGGTTGCGTTGAACGTCATTATTGCTATGTTGGACCCAATTGCTTTATTCGTGGTGGTCCTAGCACAAATTCCGTTTGAAGTGCTATTTCGGCGCTTAGACTAATTTTTTTTTTGAAACCTCCAGAAACTTGTTCGAATCCGTTCCCACGTTGTTAGCATAGGTAATCTCTGCCCGTTTTGGATTTAAATTCTCTCCTGTATTGGCAGCAGGTAGAAAGATGTGCTCACTATTACTTTTACGAACAACACGTCTTAATTTTAGTTATATTGTGCAGTGCTTAATGGAAACAGACCTTTACAAGCTGCTAAAGACGCAGAAGTTATCGAATGATCACGTTTGCTACTTTCTATATCAGGTGAACTAATTTGCCAGCATTCTTCAGAATACTCTAATATTTTTTCTTTAATTGATATGCTTACGCGAGGTTGATATGTCAACTTTATTCGGCTAACGTTTCGACGGCTTCGTCTCCATCAGAGGACCATCGACGTCGTATCGGCTCTGATGAAGACGAAAAGTTCTAAACGTTAGCCGTATAAAGATTACATATCAACCTCGCTTGTGCTTATCAATTAAAGGGAAGTCGGTTTTGAAATACTCTTTAAATGGATCGCCTTAATGTTGAAGAAGCTTATACTTTTGATATGTAAAGGTGACTTGGCTTTGAAGCCAGTAACAAAAAGAAACTAAGTATTCCAAATGGTTTAACACCCGTCCATAGTTGGAATCACCACGTTACTCATGCTTGTTCGGAAAACCATCTCGGTATCTTCCAAGGGTTTTATTTTGCGCAATTATGCCTACTAAAGAATGATGGTGATTTGATACATTGTGCTACTGTTGTAGAAGAGTACTCGGCCCTGACAAATCCTTCTAAATCCTGTTGCCACAATATTCACTGAGTTTCTGCATTGGAAGTATTTGAAACGTGTGTTCTTTCGTGCTTGGAAAGTAGAGTTTTTAGAAAGCGTTTTCATCTTTTTATCTGAAGTTTCAGATTTTACGTGGTTTGAAATACATTCACTCTGCCAATGTGTTGCATCGTGACCTGAAACCTTCAAATTTGTTGCTCAACACCACCTGTGATCTCAAGGTGATCCTCTTTTCTCAATTTTTCTTTACGTATCTTATCTTTTTTCTCAGATTTCATTGGCATTCCAATTTTTCTCATTCAAATCAACCAAAGTTTTTTCCAGATCTGCGACTTTGGTTTGGCTCGAGTAACTGATCCTCAAACAGACCATACTGGATTTTTAACCGAATACGTTGCAACACGGTAAGTTGGATAGAATTGTTTTGAATGTGGCAGTTCAATTTGCCTATCGCTTTCTTTCTCCGAAGGTCTTCTTTGATTTTTATTGTGCAGCCATTTATTTCAAAGGTGGTATCGTGCGCCAGAGATAATGCTTAACTCAAAAGGTTATACGAAGTCCATTGATGTTTGGTCTGTGAGTGCTTCCGTTTCTATTTGTTTAATTTGCCGTAGTTTCCAGTTACTACTATCCTTTTTGTCTTTTCATCGTACAAACTATATGTAGGTGGGCTGCATACTAGCTGAAATGTTGAGTAACCGCCCTCTTTTTCCTGGTAAGCACTACCTAGACCAGTTGAATCTCATTCTTGCCGTTGTTGGATCTCCTTCTCAAGAGGATCTGCAATGCATTATTAACGACAAGGTACGCAAAATCGTAACTTCCAACCTCTTTCCTCATTTGGATTCGTTTTTTTTCTATTTGGAAGATTTGTTCCTGAATGTAGTTCTTTGGTGTGGTAGAGGTTTGTTTTGTATAGGCTCGATCCTACCTGACCTCTTTACCACACAAACCCAAGCAGCCGTGGTCTCGTCTCTATCCTGGAGCTGATCCGCGTGCTCTAGATCTTCTTGAAAAAATGTTGACCTTCAACCCACATAACAGGTATCTGTTTCGTTCTTAACACTTGATATATGGCGTCCTTTCAAAGGAATGTTTTTTCATGCATCATTTCTATTGTTTTTAGCATAGTTGTGAACGTTAATTACTTTATAAAGAGATTCTAAAGAAAACGAAAAAGTGTCCATTGCCAAAGTGCTGCGAAAAAAAAACCTTTGTGAACAATGGCTATTATTACTTACTTGCTTGGAAACTTGGATTGTCCGTCCTCACTTGTGCGGGCCCCAGAATAATTTCAATTTTTTCGAAGTTTTGCTGGTTTAGCCATGGTGTTTCCTTGGAGTCGCGAGGATAGCCTGGCCAAAGTCTACCCCAGGTCTTCACCACCACAGTCATCGCACTTGTGGATCAAAAGGAGATTTGCCACCATGTGACAAGTTTGATACTAGGACGGTAGTGGATCCTGGTATTGGCTTACTCTTAGCTAGGCTTCCTGATGGAAGCGCCGGACTCCTGCTCAAATTGGGAGACCCTACGGGGGGATGAATCGCCTCGCTGTACATCACAGTTCGGCACCCAGGAAGACCTCCCAGTCAAGATTTATTTCACAAATTTGAGACACAAGTGAACATGAAATATTGCAGCGTATGAATGAAACTGTTTTAAGATATGAGATCACTCACCCATAATAACGTGTTAAATTTCTTGGCTGTGTCTATTTCGTATAGAGTTTTATCTAGAGTAGTCTGATCTACTGTGACTTTTGAGAGTCATGCTTTCTTCGAATTTAACGTCTAATGCCTTAGGTATCGTTTCCTTTTTGAGTATTACTATTAGTCAGCCGGTATCCAACAAGTATGCAATGCTTCAATTCCGTCATGTTTCTGGTGTTTTCCATAAATTTCATTAACAAACGAGTAAAGCCCTGTTAAAGGATAAAAAGGATGAGGCTGTCGGCGTTGACCAATCCCTGAGAGATGCACCATGTGTTCGACTTCATTAAGCTTCGTTGGAGGTGATTGAATGCATATATGGCCCTTACAACGACTCGCGATGTACCGATGTATCGAGCTAGTGCTGTTATTCTTCCACGCAAGCCTGGTGCCAGTTTGCCTACACCGGAGGGATGGAAGGTTTGGTGAACCTGGGTGGGGGACCGATCTTATGTATATTGCAGGGCGCCTCCGACCACTTCACTACACGCGTTCCTATCGCTGTTAGAAAAAACTATTAAAATTAGGTAAATGTATGGTTTCTCAGTTACATTCATGCTGTGCTGCTGATATATGTGAATATTAGGAAGTTCATATTTTAACAAGTTTTTTGGCTTCTATCCAATAAGTTTGTATTTTCAGAATTAACATTGAGCAAGCGTTGGCTCACCCTTATTTGGAGCAGTACTACGATCCCAATGATGAGGTGAAATAGTTTCTTGTACAATTTGTTGATGTTGCGCTCCATTGAAGTACGATATTTTGATTCATCCTGTGGTATTTACATTAATCTTGTGAATTGCAGCCGGTATGTGAGGAACCATTCACATACGAAATGGAGCTTGATGACTTACCAAAAGAGAAATTAAAGGAACTGATTTGGCAAGAGGCTGAGTTGCACCACACCCGTATGCAGGAAGAAGCAGTCAAAGCAGCGGTACAATAAGGCATTGCTTCGAAAAGTTGCATTCGATCAGAGTTGAAGTCATTCACCATATCTGGAAAACTTCGAAGATCTACTACTTTTTATCGCAAATCATCCTCTGGTGACTCACGGTCTCTGTAAAACCATCATCTATCAGCGAAGACTTCTCGTCATTCATGTCCCGATTCGATTCTAAATATTTTAGAGCGTTGAGACTGACTGTCCGCGCCGATCAATCGCTATCATTCAGTTGAATGTATTGCTCGATTACTTATCAACTCATTTATGAGAACGATGACGTAACATCGTTCTCTCCTTTATTATGTCGCCATTTCCTTCGTATTATTCACTCACCATTTGCGCCAACATTGGTGCATATTTCAACGTCAAGTTCTGAGCGAGTAAATTTAATTTTAATTTGTATGTACATGACTTTATGACTTTTAACTGTTGATTTCTTTGTGCTACACATAAGAGTATTTTATACCATGATGACTTCTGACATGATAGGAGTTGTTGGGCCACAACAACGTTTTTATGCGTTAATCATCATTGGGTATCACAAGATGATCAGTTCATATTCCATAAGTACACATGACACGGAAGGCATTGTCATTTTTCATAGATTGTACCGTGAAGTACGCAGTGATGATAGCTTTTTTTTTGTTATGGCATCCGTTATTTATGACGTGTTCCAATTTTTGCCACCCAAGTATGTTCCGGAATATTTTGAAGACGCATCAAAAACTAAGTTGTGATTTGGATCATATCGACACAAAACCACAGACCATACTAGTTCTACAGATGGACGTGCTTTTGAGTAAGGTTACTTGACAGAGAGTTATTCTTCGAACACGAGCTGTTAGCATGAAGTGGTTGAGTACTATGATCAGACTAGTCCGTCCAATCAATTGGTTACCACTCAGCCGCACAGTTCCTATTGCGATAAACAAAGGTGTCCGATGATGCTCTCGATCTCAAATTGACAAAAACCACATCAATCCCTAACAAGTTCTTAAAAGAAAGAATCTAAAGGGACAAAATGCTCGGCGTTGATCCCTGAGGGACCGTGCCATGCGTTCGACTTCATTAAGCACCGTTATAAGTGATGGGATGCATATCTGGTTCATGCCATGGTTTGTGGTGGCCTAACGTTGTATGTAGTCAGTGCTGACGTTCTTCGAAACAAAACAGATCTGGTATCAATTTGCCAATATTGGAGGGATGCAAGGTCATGTAGGTCTGGGGTTTGAGATCGATCCCATGTGTGTGTTGTAGGGCGCCTCCAACCATTGCGTTACAGATGCGCTCGGTAGTATAGTAGTTAATACCCGCGTATGTCCCCCAACATATTAGGAACAAAAGTATCGTAATGCACCAAAGACGAAATTTTGTCTCATTAACTAAGCAATTTACAGCTGGCATGGATATATATTAAGACCCAGGCGTTACTGGCAAGAATCCGTTGAAAAGGCAAAGTCCTTTGCGACATCTTTAGGTGCGATCTATAGGATGCCGTTCCTCAAACATTTGTTAACCCGTGGCAGTTACAGTGGATGTAGAACGGCATCTCGTTTCCGAAGTATTGCCATCGTTCGCAGTACAGTCCTAATTAAGCCACAGTACCGGTAAGGATACTGTAGTGTGCATTTTCAGCTTGTTGCGTTCCAGTACTCTTTGTTTTTCTGCACTATGTGTATTAATTCGATAGCTAGTCGAAAGGAGATCGAAGTAAGAGGGGTGAGACCAGAAAAACCACTGTATACACTTAATAATCTGAAAAGAGCGTCGTTCCTTCCAGAAAGCTCACTTGCTGATGATTTAACGATTCTAATCACTATGGCCGTTGTATGTAATGGCGGATTTTTTAAAAAAATCTCTAAATAGGCTCAACACAAGGTGCAAAATATCCACAACTCCCGATAGCAATGTATTTGCATTATGGACCATAGTTGCAAAACAAAGTCTCTCCCTAAAGACAGTCATGTTCACGACCCCTCAAGGGCTCTACCACCAAACGGCGCGCGTTGGTTATGTGCTAACTTGTAACATTAACCGTACTGCTTGCTTTCGGTAATAAATTTTAATATCAACAGCTGAATTGGAAGCAAATATTTATTCCATACATATACAACATAACTAGATTCACATGGTTGGTTGTGGTAGACACCTGCAGTACAACACCATCATAATCGATTGATTGACTACGAGAACCGCGTTAAACACTTCTTCGTTAACAATAATGGCGATCAGAAATGGCCGTATTAAAAGGCCAAGTGACCAAATCCACCGGGATATATCTACTCATAAAGAAACGGATTAATAACTGATTACAACACCCGCAGTTGTCAAACGATGGGAACACACGCACACAGAAAATAGAATGAACCACTTCTTGAAGAGATTAGAACTAAAAACGTAAGCTCTTGAACGCAGAACAAACTAACGACGGCTGAATTATCAAAAAAAGAAAAAGCATGAGATGAACTAGATGCCGCCCGATATTCTAACATCGGCGACAGAAGTGTGGTGATCACCTATTATGAAGGTACGACGAAAAGTGAGGCACTGTGACACTCGCAAAAAAAAAGCGGACAAAGATAGACAAAGAAGGTAGCTTGCATAAGCAAACCATTCCACATACAAAGTATGGTGCAAGGACTCGTTCAGTATGGACAGTGTTTAATTCGCTTCTTCAGTGGACCGGCCAGCACAACTGGAGGCGTTTGCTGTGTCGCGAGTGCCTTAAACACCTCAGCCAACAGCGACGGATGTTCCTTAATCAGATCTTTCCAGCCCTCCGAATTCATTACCTGAATAAAAATTCGTAATTATAACAATAAACAATAAATCACCCACAAAACAATGGTTTGGCTGCGACCACGCCAACGTCCATAATTAGGGACCATGAATCACGCGAAACTTTTGGACAGTGTAAGTACTTCGATATTTCACACGTTTGGATACCTGGACGACCTATTTTCACTGATTGTGAAGGCTCCAGCGTAATCTCTACTTTTCGGAGATTTGCTGGTCTAGCCATTATGCTTCTCTGAACTCCCGAGACCAGCTTAGCCAAAGTCTGCCCTAGGTCGCCACCACCAGAGGAAGTCGCCGCCCTTGTGGATCAGAGGGAGATTTGCCACCAGGCGACTAGTTTGGGACCAGGACAGTGGTGGATCGCGGCATTGGTTTACTCTTAGCTGGGCTTCCTGATGGAAACACCGGACTCCTCAGCTTTGGAGACCCTGCCGTGAAGATGAATCCTACGCTGTACATCGCAGCCCGACACCTAGGAACACCTCCCAACCACGATAAGGAGGTAGACAGTTAGGACGACTTCGACATCATAACAGTAATTCCGATAACAGAAATCAATCAGGTGAACTTGTTTCAAAAATTCGTCCGAAGCAAGTAGCAAGAAGAAAAAAAGATTTTAATTCTATAAGAGAAGCTATTCCTAGACACCTCTGTACAAGAAAGATTATGAGAGGGCAACGGGATTCGTGGATTAAATGGTGGACATAAATGTAAATCCTCCCAACGGTTTACCACCTCATCGTGGCTGGGAGGTGTTCCTGCTGTCGGACTACGACGTACAGTGGTGGGAATTGTCCCCTCCCGGCAAGGTCTCCCAAGGTGAGAAAGAGTCCGGCGTTTCCACCAGGAAGCCTAGCTAAGAGTAAACCAATACCAGGATCCACCACCGTCCTGCTACCAAAGTTGCATGGTAGCAAATCTCCCTTTGATACACAAGAGGTGCGATTACCTGTGGTAGTGACGACCTGGGGCAGATTTTGGCCAGGCTGACCTCGGGATTTCAGGGAACAACAATGGCTTGACCAGCAAATCTCCGAAAAAAAAATTATGCTGAGGACCGCACAATTAGTGAGGACAGGCCGTTCAAGTATCAAGTAAATATGAATGAAAACCTGTAACAATCAACAGGCAGTTCCAAGATCCGTACTGCTGGTTGCTTGTCTCAATATTCTACATTCACGACATTCACTGTTCAAATGAGACAGAACGTCAAACCTCTAGCGTAATGAGTGTTCAATGAGCAAAACTTCCTCAATGGAAAACAGCAACGAAATGCTGAATTCCTATTAGCAGAACGACAAGCTTTCTTTTTGCATTTCACTTATAAACAAACCTCCGTGGCATTGACGTTAATATAGTTGATGGCATGAGTTCGCAGCTGTTCAGCTGAGTAAAGATCGGCAAGTACCAGAGTCACGCAAGCGTTCTCAGAAGTTAAAGCCGCACACAATGCCTGCTCACACATTACCTGCAAATCGTCTTTATCACTGCATCTATGAAGTTTTTATCAAAATAAGTAGAGAAGGAACTGAAGAAAAATTACCCTTCAGTTCTAGAGAAAACCAAGCAGTTTGTGGTGAAGTGCCTTTACAGAAAATAAGCTCTCAGAGGTTAGTCAGTAAGCAAGTAAATGTTCTGATACAGGTAAATGAATCCGAAAAAAATGAGGGCTACATTGGAGCTAGACTAACCTACACACTACAGAAACGATTACAATTGTAAGTGAAGCATCAAATTCATCAAAAGCCCTAATAGATACGTTCCACATTACTCCCGCTACACTTTTATGATGGGAACACGCAGAATAGGAGAGTAAAAATCACAGAATGGTTTACATGGAACCTGTGCTGAAAAAAGAAATTCCGGAGTGAAGAGATGGGGATGGATAAAGTAACAGCTTCCATTTTAGAGCAATCAGCTGGCAAAGAATAGAAGGTAAAGAGAAAAGCAACCAGGGGCAAAGGTTTAAATAACAATTACAGTTCGACAGTCATATATTGCTTATGTAACTAAAGGGTTATGCTTAACCTCTAAACATATCTGGAAATTTTCGTCGTAAAACTCTTAATTCGACTGAGGTTGAGCTTTATAGTTGCTGAAAACGAAATTCTATCTCATAAGGAAGGTCGATCAATGAATGGCGTTAGTGAAGAGGAGGGTATTCGCGTGATATAAAAAATAACTGAGATCCAACGAAGGAAAGTTTTCGTCACTGTGCACATACAGGACAACCAAACCACCACGGAGCCTTTGTTTAACGATGAACACTGGACTTTATGTGTGACATCTGGCTTTGCCGAAGAATATGTACTTATCTCAAGTGTCCTGGATCAATATACATTCCATGCACAATTGCGTAATGGATGGAAACAGGGCCTGAGTTCAGTTTGGTCATTCCATATTGTTAGTACATAAATTGTTAACTCACTTTCAAACGATCGAGATGGTACTTGTCGGCGGCAGCGATGAGATGCTGCGCCATTTGATCGACACACGGAGAGCTGCCAGTATACATGAAGCACAGCATCTCTCGTAACACCTACAAAACCTGCTTCAGTCCACTACACAGTTATGCAGAAATCTTTGTAATATGTCACCAGAGAAACAATATTCACATAAATTCCGAAAAACATACTAGATTTTCTAAAAGACGGATTCGATAACACCACTTTGTGAAGATATTCCTTCATTTCTTATGTCACTACAACGTATCAAATGAATAAACATCCACGAATTTCACTTACCCACTCAACACACTTTGTTAAGAATCATGAATGTGTTCTTATAGATGTGACTAGATCTGAAGCCTTTTCACTATTTACAGAATTCCCAAAACTCGATAATTTCTCGTTCTAGCATGTAATAGCATAATACTAAGACATCACAAATACAAGACAGGACATTAGAACGATTTACACACAGTAGTGGGAGCGCGTAGCGCTGTGGTCGGTTGCGCCCGGCAATACACATGGGATCGATTCCCACGCCCAAGGCTCCCCAAGCCTCCCATCCCGCTGGGGTCGGCAAATTGCTACTAAACTTGTAGCGACTGTTTTCTCTTTGTACCCTTTTACCTACAGTGAGCCCACAATTACAATTTTAAACGTTTAGAAATATTGTGATATGATATTTGATGGACTGAAAACAAAATTATCTTTGCATAACAAAGGATCAAAATTTATTGAACGGAAGTTTGATCATGGAAATTGCAGATTTTTTTAACCATTAATGCCAATGCTTTCTATAAAGCTTCTCCTTTCAAAAGTAAGGAGCATCGATTGTAGTTCACTGAGAAACAAAATCACATCCACCGAATAATATTCTTAACACATGACACTCGCTGCTGGTTTTTGGACAACAGACCGTAATTTCTCGACCATTGACGTAGTTAAACAGTGAGAACCTCAGAGGCTTTGCTCGACCCCCTTAGAGATATACGGAGTATTCTTGCTACTTTAAAACGGTTTAGAATTATAACTTTTAGAAAACTGAAAATAAGGCTTAAAAATTCGAAACTTTTAATTTAATTAATTAATTAACAGCAGGTGCAAACATAAACGAGATATTGTGGAACACCATAGTCTCTTGCCGCACATGAACTGCTGTCTGTTCAATCGTTTTCCTATTCGAAATACGAAACTCGACAAATAAGAGAATACGTTGTGTGGGTTCCAGAAAATCGAAGTTTCATCTCAGTAGGAGAAGACGTAACTTCTTGGCAAAAACCTGTAGACACCACAGAATTTTTAATTGTAACTGAAAAAAGTCCACTACAAGCTAAAGTAACTTGCTTCGAAGTTGAAAGCAGCCATTATTTTAGGTCACTTAGCATGTTAAGTTTCATGCGTTCAGGAACTTCATCTTTCCTTCCACTCAAAATACCCGATTACGCGCCGTACAGATTGCTGACTCACCTTTTGCCCATTTGGGCAACACTGTAACCCTATGATTCACAGACTTAAAACATGTTTCCTTGTATTTCTTCATAAACGTATAACAAGAGGATTGCCGATTAAGGAAGATGCGTATTTCATTCCCCTAGAGATGTCTGGGAATTCTTACGTACTTTGTTGCGTCACGGACGTTTCACTTTTAACGGTCTTGTTGTAGCCGTCGATACTTCACTCCTTGGTACATTTTGCGAAGCTTGTTCAGCGCGCGCTTTCACCATCCAGCCACTTACTTAGAAACTTAAGACACCTCAAACTTTAATTACTCAAAAACTGATGTTATCTGAGTTAAAAATTACCATGAAAGGATACGAACTGCTCCATAATTGCGTTTAACATATAAAAATGATAAAGATATCTACAGGTGGATTTGACGGAAGCTAAAAAACCGATATCTATTCTGCTCTTTATGTTGAATCAGCAATTATAAAGACTAACTCGAAATCCGAGTAAAACAACGAGCTATTTGCAATATATGGAACTGTCGTTTTCAACACACATTTTCCACTTTTCACAACAAAAGCTGTATGCAGACTTTTGGACGTGTTTTTCAATAACCTACTGAAAACAATGCTTACTTATCAGTAGCATAATTGACTATTATTAATGATAGTAATGGAGAAATAACACCTTTTTCGCGCCACACCTTACCCATATAGAAAGAAAAACTTACTTCAGGCTCGACATCATCGATGGCGACCTCATTCCGTTCCGACTCTGTCATATTGTGCTCGAACATAGCATGAAAAACGCGTGATCGAGCGGCTAGGATCGCTTTATGTACCTAAACGAAGACCATCAAGTATCTTTCGACGATACTCATAAATCTGCATAACAACAGCTCTCATAAAGGGAAGTATTCGACAATCTTCGAAGTCTAGTGTATACACAATGTAACACTCAGCACACAGATCTCCCTCATAGAGAGATCTAATATCGATTAGTCGTCCTTAGTCCACTGGTTCCCATTTCCGTACAACCACACTCCGTGGCTAGCAGTGTGCAATTTCATTATTTCGCTATAATGTAACCGTAACAACATTAACGTTGCTGAGATATTTGCAAACCTCTGGACCGCAGGTGTCTATGGTGGGGAACGAACGCGCTATTGTCCTTTCCGGGGAGTAACGCGTTCACCACCACACCATGCGGGTCCTTCGTTTCGCTTGT